AGTGTGATTCTCTGATCTGTGTTTGGTGAATCAACAGTTTAGTAAAGTCCTCAGAGATAACTTCTGTTGTGATTTTGGTCGATAAAAAACTAAATGTCTTTGAACAGTTCTTTTCAACTCAAACAGAACGAGACGTGTCAGATTCTCATCTCCACAAAAGCGTGAACTCGTCTGGACTCGTCTGGACTCGTCGTTCGCGTCACTGTCTTCGCAACTTTGACTTTTCCACACGACAGCTGTGGCTTAAAGAAGAGACGGGACCAGACCCAGGACCAGACCCACAGACCCAGGACCAGACCCACAGACCCAGGACCAGCCCCGCAGACACAGGACCAGACCCACAGACCCAAAACCAGACCCAGGACCAGATCCACAGACCCAGGACCAGACCCACAGACACAGGACCAGACCCAGGACCAGACCCACACACCCAAAACCAGACCCAGGACCAGATCCACAGACCCAGGACCAGACCCACAGACACAGGACCAGACCCACAGACCCAAAACCAGACCCAGGACCAGATCCACAGACCCAGGACCAGACCCACAGACACAGGACCAGACCCAGGACCAGACCCACACACCCAAAACCAGACCCAGGACCAGATCCACAGACACAGGACCAGACCCAGGACCAGACCCACAGACCCACAGACCCAGGACCAGACCCACAGACTCAAAACCAGACCCAGGACCAGATCCACAGACACAGGACCAGACCCAGGACCAGACCCACAGACCCACAGACCCAGGACCAGACCCACAGACACAGGACCAGACCCACAGACACAGGACCAGACCCACAGACTCAAAACCAGACCCAGGACCAGATCCACAGACACAGGACCAGACCCAGGACCAGACCCACAGACCCAGGATGGACTTCACAAAACAATACACTGCATTAAAATAAAAAATAATTACAGTACGTTAAAAAGAGAAACATTGATCTGAACATTGTCAGAGCAGAAGCCTGTCTCACATTTTCAGGAAGACTGTTCTGAAAATGCTGGGACTCTGAGGAGCACAGGGACTGGCCTCCTGCTGGGACTCTGAGGAGCACAGGGACCGGCCTCCTGCTGGGACTCTGAGGAGCACAGGGACCGGCCTCCTGCTGGGACTCTGAGGAGCACAGGGACTGGCCTCCTGCTGGGACTCTGAGGAGCACAGGGACTGGCCTCCTGCTGGGACTCTGAGGAGCACAGGTACCGGCCTCCTGCTGGGACTCTGAGGAGCACAGGGACCGGCCTCCTGCTGGGACTCTGAGGAGCACAGGTACCGGCCTCCTGCTGGGACTCTGAGGAGCACAGGGACTGGCCTCCTGCTGGGACTCTGAGGAGCACAGGGACCGGCCTCCTGCTGGGACTCTGAGGAGCACAGGGACCGGCCTCCTGCTGGGACTCTGAGGAGCACAGGGACTGGCCTCCTGCTGGGACTCTGAGGAGCGCTGGGACTCTGAGGAGCACAGGGACTGGACTCCTGCTGGGACTCTGAGGAGCACAGGGACCGGCCTCCTGCTGGGACTCTGAGGAGCACAGGGACTGGCCTCCTGCTGGGACTCTGAGGAGCACAGGGACCGGCCTCCTGCTGGGACTCTGAGGAGCACAGGGACTGGCCTCCTGCTGGGACTCTGAGGAGCGCTGGGACTCTGAGGAGCACAGGGACTGGACTCCTGCTGGGACTCTGAGGAGCACAGGGACTGGCCTCCTGCTGGGACTCTGAGGAGCACAGGGACTGGCCTCCTGCTGGGACTCTGAGGAGCGCTGGGACTCTGAGGAGCACAGGGACTGGCCTCCTGCTGGGACTCTGAGGAGCGCTGGGACTCTGAGGAGCACAGGGACTGGCCTCCTGCTGGGACTCTGAGGAGCACAGGGACAGGCCTCCTGCTGGGACTCTGAGGAGCACAGGGACTGGCCTCCTGCTGGGACTCTGAGGAGCACAGGGACGGGCCTCCTGCTCGGACTCTGAGGAGCACAGGGACTGGACTCTTCCTTTTGTTCTTTCAGTGAAAACAGTTGAACTTCTAAATGTTGGGCTTTGAGCTGATGATGTTCTGCTGCTGATGTTCTGCTGCTGATGTTCTGCTGATGTTCTGCAGGTGTCGGAGCTGGAGGCCGGAGGAGCAGGAGACCTCCTGAAGGACGAGCTCACTCAGAGTCTGGAGGAGCTGGAGGCGCTGCTGAAGGCCAAGGACCAGGTGAGGACTGAGACCAGGTGAGGACTGAGACCAGGTGAGGCCATGGACCAGGTGAGGCCATGGACCAGGTGAGGCCAAGGACCAGGTGAGGACTGAGACCAGGTGAGGACTGAGACCAGGTGAGGACTGAGACCAGGTGAGGCCATGGACCAGGTGAGGCCATGGACCAGGTAAGGCCAAGGACCAGGTGAGGCCATGGACCAGGTGACGCCCAGACCACACAGAGACCGGACTTCCACACGCTCCACAGAAACTTTACAAACCACTCGTGAAAACAGAACTCGCCGAGTCCCGGTTTAAGTCAGAATAAGGTTTTTCAGATGTTACTGGTTCCGGTTCTGACGAGTTCCAGTCCTGGAGGCCGATAACAGATTATTATTGATAATGGATTAATCTGACTCTGGGCACGTGGCATTTTGAGCTGAGGTTAATTTTTCAGTAACATTTCGGTCCAGCAAAAATGAAGCAAACACTGAGGAGTGAAGAGCAAGACCGTGAACCGTCTGGACCCAGGACTGGACCCAGGACTGGACCCAGGACTGGACCCGGGACTTTATCACAGACGTCATTATTCTGTTTTCAGACAACTCTCATGAACCAGGTCTTTAACTCTTAAAGGGGGCGGGGCCTTGAGGTGAAGCCATTTTCATTTGAACCTTCTGTTAAATGTGTTTCAGGAGATCCACGTTCTGCAGAGTAAGAAGTCCGAGTATCATGACGTGGAGCACGACCGAGACCAGGCCCTGCACCGGCTGCGGGTCAGTACCACTGCGGCTTCAAGGAAACTGAAAAAACCTCTGAGACGGTTCATTTATCTTGTGCTGTGTGCTCCTCGTTCCTACTGCTCTGTAACTGCAGAGGCAACACTGACATTTCCCGCTGTGGGACCAGTAAAGGTTACAAATATGCAGTTAAGTTCAATGGTTTTGGCAAAATAACTGACTTTTTCGGCTTAATGCATTCACTAATGTATAAACTCAAAGAAGCTAAGATGCTACTTTCTAAAAATAGCAACAAAAATATTTTCAACAAATATTTTTATATTTGGGTTCTACAGGGGTTTATCTTTTTTGTTTTGAAATTTTATGGTTATTTAGTTTCTCCAACAAAAATGCAAAATCAAGAACAAACCCAACAAAATACAACAATAGAAAAAAAGACAATAGTTTTTGTCTTTTTTTTTTACTTTTTGCAGTGTGTGGGACAGACTTCTCTGACAATGTTTAAATCCAGATTAAAAACAGTTTGGTTTTCGCTGCAGACGACTGAAGGATTTTATCTTTTAGAATATAGTAAATATTTATGATGTCAGAGAGAGACAGAGAGAGAGAGACGGAGAGACAGAGAGAGAGAGACAGACAGACAGAGAGAGACAGGAGAGAGAGGGACAGAGAGAGAGAGGAGAGACAGACACGGGAGAGACAGGAGAGACGGAGAGAGAGAGACACACAGAGAGAGACAGACACGGGAGAGACAGGAGAGAGAGGGACAGAGAGAAAGAGGAGAGACAGACACGGGAGAGACAGGAGAGAGAGAGGGACAGAGAGAAAGAGTAAGTAAGTAAGTAAGTAAGTTTTTATTTATATACCGCCTTTTCACTGCAGATCTGAGTCTCAAAGCGGTTTACAATTGTTAATTTTTGGGCATTTGTCTCTCACTCCACACAGAGATGGGAGCGGGGTCGCCAGTACAGGAGGCGCATGCCAGAACTATTGGACATATTTTTAGTGGTAGGGGAAACCGGAGCACCTGGAGGAAACCTACGCAGACACGGGGAGAACATGCAAACTCCACTCAGAAAGGCCCTGGTCCGACCGGGATTCGAACCCAGGACCTTCTTGCTGAGAGGCGAGAGTGCTATCCACTCAGCCACCGTGCCGCCAAAGAGGAGAGACAGACACGGGAGAGACAGGAGAGAGAGGGACAGAGAGAAAGAGGAGAGACAGACACGGGAGAGACAGGAGAGAGAGAGGGACAGAGAGAGAGAGGAGAGACAGACACGGGAGAGACAGGAGAGACGGAGAGAGAGAGACACACAGAGAGAGACAGACACGGGAGAGAGAGGGACAGAGAGAAAGAGGAGAGACAGACACGGGAGAGACAGGAGAGAGAGGGACAGAGAGAAAGAGGAGAGACAGACACGGGAGAGACAGGAGAGAGAGAGGGACAGAGAGAGAGAGGAGAGACAGACACGGGAGAGACAGGAGAGACGGAGAGAGAGAGACACACAGAGAGAGACAGACACGGGAGAGACAGGAGAGAGAGGGACAGAGAGAAAGAGGAGAGACAGACACGGGAGAGACAGGAGAGACGGAGAGAGAGAGACACAGACAGAGAGCGAGACAGGAGATAGAGAGACACACGAGAGAGACTGAGAAAGACAGAGGGACGGAGAGAAAAAGAGACAGAGAAAAAGAGACAGAGAAAGACACACAAGAGAGAGACAGAGAGAAAGACGGAGAGAGAGAAGGAGTTCATCTTTTAGAATAAAGTGAATATTTATGATAATGCCTTGTGTGTGTGACTGCCTCCATCTTGTTTTTGTCCTGCCCTGTGAGTTTCTGTGTGTGAACTGTGCCATACAAATAACCTGTCCTCGCTGCTGTGTCCTGCAGGAGATGGAGATGAGGAACGCGGAGCTGGAGCGCCGGGTCCAGACCACGGAGCAGAACCTCCACAGCTCTCTGGACGACCGGGACCGCATGGACAGCGAGGTGCAGCGAGCCATCGAGATCCTGGACGTCAAGATCTTCGACCTGAACGACCTGCGCCAGAGTCTCTTCAAACTCATCAGCAAGTAAACCCCACGAGACCCGGACCGCGGAGAGAGTCCAGGGTCCGAGACGGGGACTGGACTGGGACTGAGTCTGGACTGACGGACTCTTAAGGAGCTTTGGATCTGCGGCCGCTTCATCAACATACAATGCAATAATGAAAGGTTTATAGGAGGAAAGACCCGCCCTCTCCACTTTTTGAACAAATATCTCTGCTCCCATTGGACGAGCACGTGCCAACCAGAGTGATTGACAGTTGTGAGGACCAATCGACTTGATGATGGAAGAACATATATATAACCTTCACCTTCTGTTGTTACTTCATTTTAACTGCAAGACATTTCCTGGTGCTTGAAGAGGAGGACGTTCTGCTCAAGGATCACACACTTTTGGCTTTTTTTTGGTTATTTTTTATTTTGACAGTAAACAGCCACGAGGAGATTCATTGCTCCAGGCTGTAGCAGCAGTGCTAATGTACGCTGTAGTCCCCGTGCAGGTTGTTTAAGTAGATACATAACTATACATTTATTAAGCAGGAATTACAACTATATATTACTGTATTATCTCGGAAGGCAAGGTTATTTGTATAGCGCAGTTCATAGACAAGGAACTCAAAGGGCTGAACAAAACAAGACAGCATCCATCCATCCATCCATTTTCTTCCCCTTAATCCATTTCTGGGTCGGGGGGGTGTCAGTCAGAGCTGCACCCAGTTCACAGAGCACCAGCCCCTCACTGATCCTCCTGCAGGTGCTGAGGCCACAGGAGCTGAGGTCTTTCAGTGGGAGCTTTACCGTAACAAGACAGCATTAAAATCATTAATTACAGTACATTAAAAAGAAAGATAAAAATATAAGAATTTGTGGTTTTAAAAATGCCGTACACACACATACTCAGTCCATCGAGAGAGGAAGAGGTGTGTGTGTCTGTGTCTCTCTACTCTGTATGTGTGTCTGTGTATATGTGTCTATTGTGTGTGTGTGTGTCCACTCTGTGTGTGCATGTCTACTTGTGTGTGTGTGTGTACTGTGTGTGTGTGTGTCTATGAATAAGTGTCTACTGTGTGTGTCTACTCTGTGTGTCTATGTCTACTTGTGTGTGTGTGTCTACTCTGTGTTTGTGTGTATGTCTACTCTGTGTTTGTGTGTATGTCTACTCTGTGTGTGTGTGTTCCAAAAATATTTAGTAAACCTCTAACGTTAGCATGGCATGACCATAACCTTTCTTTAATTCCGTGGTCTAAAAAATGCCGCCAAAAAGGTGTTTTGTGGCCCCCTAGTGGCCATCACCGGAAGCCTGCGCTAATTTGTCATGGTACACATCATTTCAAAGCTATTGTTAAAGGCACATAGAAGGATTTTCTACTTCCGGGTGAATCATCAACACTGTCGATCCTCCAAAATGTCAATCATTCTGGAGATAAGTGCTCGTCAAAAAGTGGAGAGGGCGACACTTTCCTAAAATCCTCCTTTATATCTTATAGTAGAAAACATACCATTTGTTTTACTCTCATACTCACTGTGTTCAGAAATTCAAAGGACTCGGACCTCTCTTCAGACCAGTCCGACACAGCAACACACAAAGAATGAGAGCATTATTGATGACAAAGATGGAGGTTGTCGTCCCATGAGCAGAAAGAGCCTCGATCTGGAAACCTCATCGTTCAAGGGTTTTGTTGACGTTCATAAAGCCTTAAACTCACTGCAAAGTCACTTCACGAGAACGCAGCCTTGGGTTCTCTGCCGTCGCGGTTTATGTTTTAAAAAAAAGCTCAAACGTATTTCGATGCAATACTGCGACCGCCGCCTCTCGGTCGTCGCCGGTGGAAGTTTTAAAGTTGGTTCAAAACAGTGTCATGTGTAGAATAAGATTTTCATGCAGCCTATTCACGCGACCTTCAACCACAGACCAGACTGTAGATCTCTGTACTGTAATTTTAGATAATAAATGACTTTGATGCTACTTTTGTACTTGTGAAATGTGTTTAATGGAATGTCATACACGTTAAAAGTAGGGCTGTCAAAATTATCGCGTTAACTCACGTTAATTACATTTTTCATTAACGCGTTATTTTTGTTTTTACGCATTAACGCACGATGACCCGCCCATTTATCCATAAGAATATCACTCAGAATGCTGCGTGTGAGATGGCCTCCTCCGTGGCCGCTCTGGTTGTTGTTAGCGGCTGTGAGTGAGTGCAAGCTTTGCACGGGCTGCAAGCATGGATCTACTGTAGCTATTATAATAACAGCAGCAAGCGATTGCTCCGTTCACATACTCAGCGCTCTGCGCACTGTATTTTCCCTGGTTCTTTTCTGTCAGGCGCGAGTGTTGCTCGTGTGTGTCTTTGGGAACTAATTATTTTAAAATAGTGTCTTTCAATTGCAAGTTTTGTAATGTGTTTGTTTGATCAATGGATAAAAATAAATGCAATTTAATTAAATGGCACCTTGGCCTGTCTTATACCTGTTTGCCTGCAGGACAGTTCCCTAAACTAACATATCATACTAAAATGGGTGCAACAATTAATCTACTTTGAAGTTATCCTAAATTACAGCCAGCTAAAGCTCGGTACCACAACAAACGAAAAAGTAACGCAATAGTTACTTTTACTGGTAACTAGTTACTTTTATAGTGGAGTAACTCAGTTAGTGAGTCAATTACTTTTTGGAAGAAGTAACTAGTAACTATAACTAATTACTTTTTCAAAGTAACTTACCAAACACTGGATTTATATTTGATAATCTCATTTAAATTCAATTGGAGTGGATTTAAAATAGAATGTTAAACATACGATTAATCGTGAGTTAACTCACCATTATTATGCGATTAATCAACTAAAAAAAATTTATCGTTTGACAGCCTTAGTTAAAAGTAGGGCTGTCAAACGATTAATTTTTTTTAGTTGATTAATCGCACAGTAATGGTGAGTTAACTCACGATTAATCGCATTTTTAACATTCTATTTCAAATCCACTCCAATTGAAGTTAAATGAGATTTTCAAATGTAATGACACATTGTTATTCATACCAAATGTACTTCAATCTGTTTGACTTGCTCACAACCTTCTACTTTTGGGTACAACCAACAAGAGCTGTTAATGAAAGGGAAAATGTAGGTACCCCAGCTTTAATTTTGCGAGTTTGGTTGCATTTCAGCGTGTCTCCTCTCCTCCGTGTCCGTGTGTCACACAACATCAGAGAATGGCCCCTGTGCGTGTATATATATGCGTGTATTATATGACCACGTTACCGCTGTCACCATCACACACGCACGTGTCCGTGGCATTCTGAGTGATATTATTATAAATGGGCGGGTCATTCGGACATGTGATTGACTGCCAGCCTATTTCAGAACAGGTACTCGCATATTGCCAGCCGTTTCTGATGATTTTTACTGAATTTTCAAGACCCACAGAATATTGTGTACTATGACTATCTGAAATCCAAAACCACATTCTGAAAGAATGGACTGTCTACGTTCATCAGCAAAAATAATTTTGTTTCTAGCTTGTTTCGTTCCCCTGTAATCCCCAGTCGAGTAGAGGTAAGTTTTATTGAAATCACCAGAAAGCTGAGAGAATAGAGGCACATGTTTCCAAACCATTCATAGAGCAATGCTGCCATCTGCTGGCTTGATAAAATATACCCTCAAGCCTTACATATTTGATACAATAGACATCTGGGAACGTGAAAATAGCGGAAACGCAATAACACGTCAATGGCAGTTAATGCGTTAATTATTTTTTAACGCGTTAATGAAAACGGTAATTAACGTGAATTAACGCGATAATTTTGACAGCCCTAGTTAAAAGTGATGAAAACTCTGGAAAAATGTAAAACCAGATTTACCGATGGGACAAAGCAAAATGGTCTTGTTTGAGAAAGATATGAGAAGAGATTATATTCAGTCACATTTGTAGTCATTTGTTCAAAATACCGTTCATAAATAAACCACTGAATATCTTGGTATCAAAGAGAACTTCTGTTAAAATGACCCAATTCTCATTTAATCTGCAGAATTGTTCTTGATGGATTCTTTAAAAAAAAATCCTAATTTCAAACTAGTGCATTAGCATTAGCATGTTCTTGTTCTGCAGCCTCAGTCCTGGGTCTGCAGCCTCAGTCCTGGGTCTGCAGCCTCAGTCCTGGATCTACAGCCTCAGTCCTGGGTCTGCAGCCTCAGTCCTGGATCTACAGCCTCAGTCCTGGATCTACAGCCTCAGTCCTGGGTCTACAGCCTCAGTCCTGGGTCTACAGCCTCGGTCCTGGATCTACAGATTCGGCCCTGGATCTGCAGCCTCAGTCCTGGATCTACAGCCTCAGTCCTGGGTCTACAGCCTCAGTCCTGGATCTACAGCCTCAGTCCTGGGTCTACAGCAGTGGTCGGCAACGTCCGGCCCGGGGGACAATTTTGGCCCGTTGCCAATATTTTTTGGCCCGCGAGAAGATTTAGAAAAAAAAAAAAAAAAGAAGCCTCACAGAGACTTAATTGCTCTTTATCCGCAAATGTTTTGCCCCTATCTTTGCTTGTGTTTGGCACAACACCATTCCACATTTGCATTTTCATTCTAAGTAGCCTAACTTCTAGGTTAAATTGTGGTTTGTCCCGATCCGTATACTTAACCTCATACAGGCGCTACAGCGCTGCTCACGCTGTGCGTAAACTGCAGGTCAAAAAGTCGCGTGCCGGCCTGTGCGACATTCACGCACTCAGAAAGGGTTGAAAAACAGTGATAGGCACATGGAGACAGCGTGGGAAACTCGTCTTGGTTACAGAGATCTTTGACAATTTGCAGCAGTCATGCAGCATCTTGTTTGAAGTTACAATATTCTTCGAAAGAGATCTTTTCAATCCGCACAATTTTATCACAAAAATATTAATGTTAAAGTAGTCACAATGGAGAAATAAGTTGGGGAAAAAGTGAAATTAAAATGAAGATGCTTTTCATAGTAGGCTACCCAACACCTAATTCACTTTGGAAAGACTCAAGAGGAAAATGCAGTTAGAAGTTTATTGATTGAGT